TTTCACTGACCGCCCGCCGAAAAGATCCTCTTGCAACCAAATCGCATCGTTCAGTATTAGCAGTGGTGAATGTTCTTCATGTGTCTTTTCAAACTGGATTTGTACGAAAATGCATTGTGGCATAGTTTACATTGCAGCGGCTTTTCATCCGAATGAACATGCATGTGACGTTTCAAGTTGCCAATGTATGACTGGAACAGCTTCTTGCATAAATGACATTCATAGCAGCGTCGATTGCAGAGTCGTTGATGAGCGATTCTTTTGTTGTTCTTCGTAAAACCTTGGTGGCAAATCAAACATTTGAATGGAAGCTTCTTTGTATGAGATGCCAAGTGCTTGTTTAGATTGCCTTTTTGGTTGAATTGCTTCAGACAACGTTGACATTCGAACGGGGTTTCACCGGAGTGTGTGCGCATATGGTCGATCAAATTGCATTTGTTGCAACTAAATGACTTTCCACAAACATAACATTCATACAAACAGCGATTACACTTCCCCTCATGTGCGTTTCTTTCATCTTGGTGTACGAATCGCAAGTGACATCTGGAACAGCGGAATGAACGTGGACCACCATGAAGTTTCATGTGCTTCATAAGAGCAGATTTCTGTCTAAATTGCTTGAAGCATTCGTTGCATTGGAATGGTTTGTCACCGCTGTGCACACGCATGTGCTTTATCATATTCCCCTTCATTGATCCGAACGATTCCTTGCACAAATGACATTCGTAGCGACGAGTCTTACACTTGACTTCGTGTGCTTCCTTTTCGTTTTTTCCATCGAATCTTTGCAAACAGCCCGGGCAATGGAACAGAAACTCTTCGATGTGAGCTTTCATGTGGGCATGGAGACTTTGTTTGCTTGTAAAACGTTTCGGGCAGAAATCGCATCCATGTGGTCTATCGCCAGTGTGTTTCAGCATGTGCTTATTTAAATCACCTTTCCATCGCGTTGAATAGACGCAAATGTGGCATTTATGTTTCTTCGTTTGATTTACATAAGCATTCTCACCTCGTTTCTGTGTATCGCGTCCACTGGCATCACTTTCTGGGACAATAAAATCGCCTTCACTGTGTGGCAGTGGTTGCTGCTGATTTTGCTGGCTGCCCGTAGCTTCTTCTTTGGAGTCAGCATTTGTTGTTGGTTCTCTTTTCTTTTCGTCACATTCTTTCTTCACCTCGACCTTAGCATCGATCTCATCCAAGTGATCGAAATCATATTCAGTTTCACGCTTATTGAAGCCAGGAACATGTCGCACATTGCAATAAGTCGGTGCCGAAACTTCAACCACTTCGCCCACGGACACTGGCTCTTGCTTGATGTCACCTTTTTTTTCAATTTCAATTGAATCAGCCGACTGAAGGTGGTTTTGGTTTGCGGACATATTCATGTCATTCGAATCAGATGTAGTAATGGAGCTGTGATTGTCAATCATCGTTGTTTCCATCAATCGCCTAAGTACCATTGAGTAGAAATAGATATTGTAACACTTTTGAGGTTAGATTTGTTCGTATGGAAGATAAAGTTAAACTATCTATGCATATAAATGTTGAAATTTGCTATAAAATTGTTGCTATTTCTACTGAAATGCGTCAACATGTCTTATCGATTGGTCAAATTGAAATAATAAAAGAAATTTTTGTGGTCGATGAATTCAACCAGCTTCCAATCACTTCATTTCCTCTGTCCAATGCTGCTTACATTCGAATGAATTGTCAAAATCTACTTACTTCTTTTTATTCACCATTTGCTTTCACCAAATTGGTATTACCAATCGACTATTGATGTTTATTCACGCTTATTCGGCTTAAAAAATCATGAAAAATGTAATGAAACCCCAAAAAAGCAATTCTGATCAAGACGAATCGGAATGCCCTTTGTTGGCTTGCGAATTCTAAATTATTGTGTCAGTAGAGCGATGCTGTGAAATGTGTTTGCTACTTAAATGTCACCGATGAAAAGAACGTGCTTTCATACAGTCATCGACGCGGCGCTGAACAATTGAATCTAGTTTTCGCGATTGTGTGAGTGTAAGTTAACACGTTAGCTTCTGTTGAAAGCGAATGGAATGACATTTGTTTATTACCATGAGAATTTCGATAAATCTCAGTGAGATGTCTCTAGTCGTGAATGAAATAATACGGAAAACTTTCTTTTCACTGAGAGATGAATCATTTATTTGAATTGTTCATTCAAGTATAAAAACATTTTATATTATTCCATTGATTTTGAGTGCGGGTGCAATGTGTATTGTACAAATAGTTTGACAAAAAAAAATGTCAAAACAATCAAATAATTACACAGTTCTACCGATGGTTTTTTTTGTCTGGCACAAAAGCCGGACTAGATCAACGTTTTAGAGGGCCAAAATCTAAGAACAACTGCGTTCACAGAATATTGAAATTGGCTCAACTTTTTTAAATATCAAATTCAGCGTTTTACCTTTCCACCAGTATTAAAATGCAAAGAGGTATTGAACAAATACCATTTTTCTCCCATTAGAGATGGTTTTATAGCCTTGGTATCTACTAAGAAAATGTTTGGCGATCAATTTTAGGCGGAAATAGTAAAATATTATACCCAAAAATTACATCTGGTGGGATTGGTGCCCCATGGGGCAAAATGTCGAAAAAATAGTCAATTTTTTTAGTTTTTCGACCAAAGCTCTAGAAGTATACATTTTTTCATTCACTGTGTTCGGCAATATTGTAGCCAGAGTATAGCTGAGCAACACTTCTGAACACATTAACTCGAAAAATCCACATCCAGTCCACTTTATTGTCTCAAAATAACTTTTCGCTATAAAACGGTATTTTCGTGCATTTTCGAAGTCGTAAAACTTCTCAACTGCTT